ACACCCTTCTGCTCTGTTTATTATAAGGTTTTATGCACCTTATTCAAAATACTGCACATGTAAAGCTTTGTTATTCCAAAGCATAAAGTGAGACTCTATGAAAAGCTAGACAAAATTTATTTTTCATTTGACTTTGATTTGAATATTAGAAATACAGACTACTTTAATTCTCACTCTTTTCCAGGCTTCACTGAAGGTGCTCCTATGTTCTTCCTTGAGGCTGAATTTTGTTCTCCTCAGAGAGGTCAATTATGTGGGCTTAAAGAAGTGGCAGAAATAACGACATTGGGAAGCTGCTGAAATGTCAGGAGAAATCCTCAAAGGCTTTTATTTCAGGTGAGAGTTGCCAGAGCGATAGAACAAATACACTTCTCAGCAACAGATACTGATGTTCTCTTCTTTCATGAAGGCTGTGACACAGACTGATGTCTTACTGCAACAGAAACGCTGCCCCAACCAACACCCTCAACACTGTGTACCATGGCAGATCAAAAGCACAAACCCCCGCCTCACAAGAAGATTATTCTGTTAGGTTTGTAGTGTGACATTCCTAATTCTGAAATACTTTACAAAAAGTTGGTAAAACCTCACAGAAATGCAGCCATGTCTCTCTTCTCTTTCTTTGACTTTCTACATCCTTGCAGTGAGGTTCCCACTACCCAGATGAGGAGCTCTGGAACCACAGCACACAATGGTGGAAGAGGGGACCAGGGAGGTCAGACCTGGCACTGCAGGCTCAGTCATCTTTTAAAGCATCAGTCTCACTAAGAAACCATGCAGTGAATTCCTATGACTTTGATACCTGCTGCTGGACAATAGCACAGATGCACCCCTTCCTCTCTGGTTTACTCCACATCTCTGGTCTCAGAAAAGTGGTAGAAGAAATGGTGAAACAGGAAACACAAAGAAGAAAACACAAGAAGTTTAAGATGTTCTAGAGAGGATTTTTCCTTGTCTACATTTTGGATTTTCCCTTCTCTCTTGCTCTGATACTAAATACAGGTAGTAGTACCGTGCCAGACTGCTCCTATGATGAAAAAGGGAACCAGTGGACCTTCTTAACACTCCCAGATATATCAAATAATTCTGGAGAAAAATCTATTGATGTAAATCCAGAAGACTCTCCTATTCTCATCACAGGAAAATAGGAATCATAAAATGGACTAACATAAGTTTTACCTGCTAAGTATTATAGTTTTTCCTGCTAAGATAGCAGGAAATCCTAGAAGCAAAACAAAACCTGCAGCCCCCAGGAAGTTGAACTAATGAACCATTTGCAAAGGGAGCTGATCAAAATTAACATCAGACCCAACAAAAGCTTCTGCCAAGTACTGCACTGCCACCTTGCTGCTGGCAATACCTGTTCCCCATGGAGAATCCCTGCAGCTGTGCTCCCTTTTTCAGTGCATGGAGCCAGTTTCATTCCTTTTGATTTTGACAAGACAAAAACTGGAAATGAAACCTCATCTTGCTCACCCTTTCAAAAGGAAGAAAGGAATAAGGCAGATTTTTTGACTTTAACATATGAAGTCCATAAGTACTATTTCAAAAACCTCACTAGTAACTGAGATGGCTGTTTGTGGAAAAATCCAGATTCTCCAACTAGCTTTCACAGTTACCTAGTCAGCCATAAATATTAAATTATTCACAATTCATTAAACCATCTAAAATAAATTTTAATGCACTTTTATAATTCTCATTGCTCACTAACATACATGTAGAACTGGGAAGCTTCCAGTAGGTAAATATATCCTATTTATGACTAGATATATATTGATATACAGATCTGAAGCATATATGAATATAAACACTCTGAGAAATGAAGCTGGAGCTGGAGCAATCTAAAGCTTCAAAATAGGTAAGCTTAATGGATAGTCTTTAAGTGAGCTAACCCTTAAAAGAACAGGGAAAAACACACCATGAAAAGGCTCTTGTTCCCATATTTCACATGATAGAAAATAATTAAATATGGTATTACAATAATTACTTTAAATGCATAGAAAAAAATCACGTTATGATTTTGGAAAAAAATTTGAATAATTTCTCTCAGGAATTTTGAAAACCCTATCAAACTCCAAAGAATCTTCTCCTTTACTTTACAAGACTTTGATAGTGTAGGTTAGAGAACCTATTCTCAGAGGACAGAATACAAATCTCAAAGTGCCACAGCAGGCAAAATAGGTATGAAAAGCTCTTGAGACTGATCCTCCTACACAATTTGCTGTCCTCCTGTTTCTGTCTTAAGAAATACTGACAACATAACACTCTTCTATGAAGTGTCTGCACATTTTTCTAGTTCTAATTCTGAGAAATAGTTGAAAAAATCTTATATATGGCAGAATAAAGGGGGAAAAAAGAGCAGCTCTCAATCTAATGCAAAAAAACATTAAAAAAAGGATTTAAAAAAAGGTGAGAAACAATGTAAATTTTCATTTGATAATCTGTATGCAAAACCAGTCTGTCACTGTACCTTCGTTTTCTTCTTAAAGAACGCACAGCAGCTTCACACATAATACCTTTCCTGTCAGTGCTGTTGCTTAATTAGTCAACGTGATGTGAACCTTATAATAAAAATAATTGAGTTGGGGCCTTCAGTCTCTGAAGAGAAGCATCACCATGTAGGATATTCTCACAGATAAAGGTTTCATATACTGCAAATATGAATGTGATGGGAAGAGGGGACACCGACCTTTTCTGCAGAGAAGGACTATACACAACTTCAGTCTCAACTTAGATTAAAAATGCTACTTAGACTACAGGGCATGCTTCAATTTTTTAAATCTTCATAAAAACTTGGTAATAAGTATAAATTTATGTACATTTTAACTAGCATTCCCATTATGCAGCAGTCATTTTCAGTGATGGTAGTCGGCATATGAAACTTAAAAAATTTTCTTCTCCCATTCTCTCCTAAATAACCAAGGGAAAAACATGTGACATGTAATACAGAACTTCTGCATTTAGGTGTAACAGATACACAGATGTGAAAAAGGAGTCAAAAAGTCCACCAAGACAGTAAGAGAAAGTGATTGGTTAAAAATATTTTTCTACAAATGGTGATATGTAATTCTGCATACACTATTTCTTGATCCTCAGAACACAGACTTCTCTCTGATGTCATTGTCATTTTATATTCAAATGCATTAGTCCTTAAGGTGAAAGCAGGCACTTGCTGAGACAAAAATGTATTATCAGTATTGTCCATACATTAATACAAAATAAACAAACTTTTATTACAGCACTGATGTTTTGGAATCACTATCTTTAAATTTTTGATCAAATGTTATTATTTTTCTACTTAACAAAAGTTTAAGTTGAAAATCATTTTGTAGACATAACAGAGTCTTCTGCTGTGTTTTCTAATGTTTAAAATTTGTCATTGAATGAGCCACTCATTTTTCATTCTCTGTACAAGGAAGAGTAAGCAGTACATTATAAAAACACTCATTTCTTTGCCTCACTTAACTTCATTTAACTTGATTCATTTCCAGAATAATACATAAAACATTGCCTACCACAATTTGTACGTGTTTTGTCCCCCTGCAAAATTAACCATCAGGAAACTGCACAGCTTCTGAAACTTGTATTTCTTTCTGGAGGACTGAGAAGTCACTTCAGGAACAGTGCTGGGCAAGAATGTACTCTTCACTGTGCCAACACTTTAAAAATAATGCTCTTCACGCCATGATCCAGAAATTAACTCCCCTCACAATGTGATGGAACTGGAAAGAAAGTGATTCATTTTCTCTAATAGCTCAAGGTTTCTTCATATTTTCTTCCTTCTGATAGCAAATTTGTATGTTTTCCTGTAATAGAATTCTTATTTTGAATGTAAAAAATGTAAAAATTTGTAAATTTTTTTTCAAAAAATGTAAAATGTACATGATGTAAAAAAAAAAATGTAGACGATACTGCTGGAGTTTCCAGCAGGCATTTTATGAGGAGGAATTTTTTCTTTGTCTTGACATTGGCATTCAAGATTTCTTCCATTTTTTCTTCCTAATTAGCTTTTGCAAGACAATTGTATGTTTGAAGCAAACAGAATATTTTCCCTCAGGCATCAGAAACTTAATCTTTCCAATTTCCTTTCAATGGACATTGAAAACAAAGCAGTGTATTGTAACTCAGCTGGGAATTAAGAACTATGTGACGTAAAAAAAGGAAAAAACACTATGTAAATAAATTTAACAAAGATGTAAATAAAAATAAAGTAATGAAAAATCCTTTAAGCCACCTTGTTAATACCTGACAGAACTGCCTGTTCACATTAAAGTTGCTTGCCTTTCAAAGGAAGTTAAGACCGTAAATTTATACAAAACTGAGGAATTTTATATTCACAACACACTGAGTGATTAGCATCAAATCATTTGAAATATCACAATCTGAGGTCTTTCCAGCCACTTTTTCCAGCAGTCTTCTTTGTGACTCAAAAGATGATTTTTTTTTTAAATTTTGATCATTCTACAGAGGTAATAGTGCCTCACAGAACTCTTTATTTTCCTTATATCTGATATTAAAAAAAAATCAATAACAATAAGCATACAGTTACAAAACATACAGTTATATGGTGATAAACCATAAGGCTGTTAATGACCTTTTAGATGGAAGTTGCACTCATAAATCTTATCATTTAAAAGAACCGTTGGAGCGGTTTTTGGATTCTGATCAACAAGTCACTAAGAAAGAAACCACAGGTCTTTAGTTTAAAATTTTGAAGAACTTAATTGAAAATTATAATCTTTGTGGCATATGGCATTCTCCCCCTACACCCTGCCAGGAAAAGAGTTCTATGGTATGTTTTTTTAGGATTGTTAACATTCAGACTTTCATACATAGTACACAGTGATTTCTCCTGTGTCCCATTTATAGATAATGCTACACACGAGCGCAGTGTGTGCAACGTATACAGACATTACAGAACTTCTTGAAAGTGGGCACGTGTCTCATTCCTGTGTAGATTTCAACTGTGCCTCCTCAAGAGAGTTCAGCAAGGTACTTACTGATGTGTAGAGGAAACCTTCTCCATTTAGGGCTATATACAGCCCAGTCTTTACACCCTGGATAGCGACAACTCGAAGCCCCACTGGTATAAGGTTGAATAAAGCTGTGAAGAAAAAACATGCCCAGATATAAATATGTTGTGGTTAATAAAATAGTCTAATAAACATCATTAGCAAAAAAAAGAAGAAAGAAAAATAGCTTCTGTATAACTTTTTTATGCTTTTAAAATCAGACCAACTCAGAAAATCTTGCTTCTTTGATTCTGGTAAGTAGCTTTTTATTTTCTTGGGCATTTTTAAGGTTTTTGATTAAGAGGTGCCCTTATTAAAGACTGATGTCAAGGGATCTGTTATTTCAAATTTATTTTTTTTTTCTTTTGTGAATGTTATATGTGATACAAACAGTAAGGCACTGGTGTCAGGTAATGACAGAGGCTTATCATAATTCATAAAAGCATTAAAATATGTGCTTAACTTTGTGCATAAATGTTACTGAAAAGAATACAGAACTTGGGGTAATAATTAGAAAATAATTAGAAAACCACCTAATAACAAATACCCTAGAAATACTATATACCTCTGTAGTAATCCAAACAGCCACAACTTTGATTACTCTCTGAAAAAAAGACCAGTGTGAAGAGCGGGAGTTTACCAGCCTCACCACAGAAAAACACAAGTTGTATAAGTAGGTGGCATGAACCAATTCTTCTAAAACTTGTGCCAGCGCACGCCTATATTACATTTACTGACTCCTGCTAGAAAATTAGATGCAAAGCGCACATCAGTCTTGGAAGACCTGGATGAGACAGGGTTCATGCCAAATGTTTGTCCACTCTGGATGAGCCAAGGATTCACAAGTCCTGGGATGAAAACCAAAAGCACAAGCAGTGTGTTCAGCATATGCAGTGGGAACGTTTCTATCAAGTCAGGTCTCAGGAACACAGTAACATCTACAGTGAGTTCCTCAAACTTTAAGAAGGATATCCATAGGTGTGACCAAGAAGTGTACTATATGAGGCTATCTGTAATCAGAATGTCAGAGCCAAAGCCAAAATCAAGAGAAAAAGGATCATGTAGTTGCAGTGGATAAATACATTTTTCAAGGTATGAAAACTCCTATTTGGTCAAAGGACAAAAATCCACAGTTTGTTTATGATCAATATGATCAAGTTTTACAACTGAGAGAAAAAAAAAAACATAGGTAGGAATACCTACCAGAAATATAAGCATGTAAAAAAAAAAAAAAAGAGACACCTTTCCTTCAGCATTGTTATGCAGAAAAATAATATGTAACATCAGATAATTTTAGGAATACACAAAGTCAATATAAAGCTAGGAGTTGTAGCAGAGCACTTCCTAGAGCGGTAGAAAGAAAAATATATTCAAAAGAGCTCTACAAGAACTCAAAGCTATTTGGCAGCTTTACAAAGAAATTAAAAGAGATAAGAAGAATTTGCACAAATAAATAGCATTTTAATTTCAGTTGTTTCCAAAATTCTCCTTTACATTAGGATATTACAGTGCTGTTTACTACAAAAAAAAAAAAAGTATATTCTGTAATATTGTAATATTATAGATAAGGTTTCCTGTCTAATAAATGTAAAACTGTGAAATATGGCACTCAGAGAAAAGATATCCTAAAAATATATAAGCTAAACACTGCATGGCTTGAGGGCTTTTAGTTCAATATAATTTGGAAGTCAAAAATTAGTTAAGGTCATTATCCTCAAATGAAACAATGTCAAAACCAGCAAAATCACTCTTGTGGGTTGTGGAGGGGGAGTCTGTCACAGCAAAACTAAGTATCAGATAGCAATTGAGTTTGGATTTTTTCCTAGAAGAAAAAAAATTGCAGGAGCAAATCTCCATATGAACACCATGCTAAAGGGACTGAAGAAACAACTGAAGGGACACCAGGAAGGAAAAACAAACAATACTTATAAAAAGAAAAGAGGTGAACACAAAAGACAAGTCAGCCATGAGGACTGTCAGCTAATGAAAAATAACTCCCAGTCAAAGTGGTTCAGTCAAAAATTCTGAAATGTAGATATTATTTGCCATTTTAATACTAAAAATAAAGCATCAAAGCTAAAAAAACCCATAAATCCAACCACCATTGAACAAGAATTACACGCCTGTAGCACAGCAGTGTTTTGTGCAGTCTGTAAAGTTACTGAAGTGGCTTATAGTCGCTGATGAATTCAGAAAGCACTGTGGAGGGCATGTAATGCATCTTTTACTGCCACCAAATTTTAATTGGAGATTTTCAGAGCTCCTGCAATTAATCTAAACACTCAAAATTTTAGAGTGTGACCTGGAATGCTGCAATTCTGTACATTCAGAATAGTCAATAAGCTTCACAGAATCCTTTAGACTTGAGTGAAACTAGGGAGGCCAGTCTACATTCAGCTATTGATTGACAAATGTTCAGCAATGTGCTTCATACTGGGGTCAGCAAAACATGCACCAATAAGGAACAGCATGTGGTTTTAATGCACTTTGAAGCAGGCCAAAAGAAATTCAATTCCCTCCAGAACCTGACTGGGCAGTGCTCTTTACTGAGCAAGACTTTTGTGTTCAATTAAACATTTCACACATTCCTAGGATTCACCTGTGCTATTCCTCACTCTAGTAAAAAATGTGCTCTAAGAAAAGCGGAAAGTCTTCTAGAGAGCTCTGGCATTCCAATTCTGCACAGCCAAACCTACACTCTTATCTGAGTAGGTCACTAAAAAGAGCCATGTCCCCTGCTTCCCTCTCTGTTTCAGAAAATGATCTGAAATGAAAACCTGGGGAGTGGGAAGTGAGGTTCCTGAACAACTTTATGTACCTAAAGTCAGTTCTGTGAGGCCATAGATAAGCTGAGGAGAGGTACGCACCCTCCAACAGCCCTGGAAATTACAGCGGTGCCTGGTGCTCAATATTCCCATGCTGCACGCTTAAGTAGAAAGCCTGGCAATTCCAAATATAAGTAAGAAGTGGGAGCATCAGGGAAGACAAGGGAACTGATTGGCAAAAATGGTGCAAGTAAAACCCTTTCTCCTTGGTGCTAAGACTGTGCGCACTCCTTCGCTTTGCTTTGTATTCTATCTAAATCACAGCAATAAAGCATTGTGTTCTCATTTTCCTAAGCCTGCAAGCCTACTCCCACCACAAAAAAGATCAGAAAATGGGGCTGGGGGCAGTTAGCAGGAACAACTGGCATGAAAAAGGGTTATTTGTTTAGGTTTCATGGAGGAGACTTGCAGGCACTCTAAATCTGAGTTGGATTCTAACCCAGTTTTACCAAATGTTTGAGTCCACTTTTTTTATAACCAATCACTCCTTTCTTGAGCCGAACACAAAACCACCATATAACTTTTTCCTTCTTTTACGTTATACCAACACTGTCCATTAACTTGATATCTGAAATGCCTGAAATCAGGTATTTCCATATACTTGTGAAAGTCTATTTAGGTACAACTGACTTGCAGCTACAAGAAAATTGCTATTACAGATGACTGTTTCTATCAAGAATCTTGCTAGAGATGGATTGCTAAAGAGTTATGAACTTGCAGTCTCTTCTGCACACACACTGCCCTCGTGACAGTTAACAAAACTTTCCACAGCACCCAATCTCCAATCAGATCAAGGCAACTATTTATTCAAAGCATCTTTTAGATTGGCAGTGACTGCAAGGAATTTGGTGTTTAGAGGCTTGTCCACCCATTTTTTATGGAGCAAACCCATTCTACCTGCCCAGTCTTACAGAAGACATAATTAAAACTTTTCTTTTAAGTATGACTGAACATTTACCTTTCAGACTAAGATTATCCCAGTGGGAGAAACAGGCTTACCTAGCTCCCAGAGGTGGTGTAAATAGAGGAGTAAATGCCTGTATAGTTCTTTGAGGAAAAACTTAAGTAAAAACCAGTGCAAGCATCAGGCTGCAGATATCTCAGTGCAGTAATCCAAAATTAACATTAATTAATCCAAATTTAACAGCACTGCAGGTGTTTTTTCCCTAATCTTTATGTGCTTTATTTCTATCTAATTACCTCCTTTACCATACAAGGGTGCTGTAAAGGTTATTTTATGAGTACCTTCAAACCAAAATATGAACTGGTATGAAGTGGTAGGTATTTTATAAAGAGGTAAAAAAGTTAATGCTTCCACATTCAATTTGGGAGATATAAAGAGAACATTAGAAGCATGCATTAAAAGATGAAAATAAAGGAATGTTTAATGGTTTCAGGATTTCTTGAAGAGCAACTGTACCAGGTACCATGCACCACAAAGGAGGTAAAGCATGCTGCAGCATAATAAAAGATTTGCACAGCACAGCCAAATCAAAATTTACTGGATAATGTTCACTTTTTCATTTATCAGTTTATGAAATAAGACTACCAATGATTAATGCTCTTTTAATTAGAGAATATTATAAACATGTTATAAACACAATTGTAATTTCATAAGGGGTACAAATTGCAACATTGGAGTGTTACAGTCAGGTTTGTCACCTATAAAGGAAAGTATCACCATTTACGCTGCATTTTTTCAGTGGTTGTTGGCTAAGATACACTCTAGGTGAATTAAAACAAAATATAGGGCTGAAAGATTCAGGTTTTCAATCTCAGAAAATAAAAAGTTGCAATTCTCTGTTTCTCAAATTAATTAGTCTTTTATTCACAACTCTTAATTCATGAGACAAAACTCTGAAGATAGACCAAAGCCTAAAAATGAGCTATTTTAGGTGGGGAGGACAGAAGGAGAATGTAATGCTTGTTACTACACGTATGGAAATAGTTTGTATCTTTATGATTTCTGTGTAGTAGTTTGCTTTGTCTAATTAATAATGCTGAGGCCAGTGAAGCAAGCCACATTTGCACCTGTAAAATCCAGGAGAATTAGGGTGAGTGTGACAGCTAGAATGAGTAGGACCTCAGTAACCAGAGCCACAGCTTTAACCACAGTCACTCCTGCCTTTGCTACAAGCAAGACACAAAAGCAAACCAGAAATGAAAGGCATTGGAGGAGTTAAATGAAAAAAAAAAAAAAAAAAACCCCAAAAAAAAACTAGATAAAACAAGATATCACTGAGAGTGGGGCAAAAACCAAATAAATACAGACTGTACACACAAGATTGTTTGGATAACAGCTTTGATTTGGTGAAGTGATTTAAGGAAAGTCAGCACCATTAACCAATAGGTGCATTAATTACCATTGTTTCATGAGACATCATTATCTTGGCAAAGTTATAAAAAGAAATTACAGCAATGAACTGAAACCTGTTGGTCTGTTTAGGCTGGGTTCTAATATCATGGCAGACATGAGCAGACAAAAGTACATTCTGGGATGCAATTGCACATCACATCTTTCCTCCTTTTTCATGTGTTTGCACACAGTGATACACTAAAAATCTTGTCATCTCTCTCCGCAGTCTCTAACCTTACTCAAACTGGGATAATGAGCAGCTGATTAAAACCACTGGTAAAACTCATTTGACTTTAGATAGAAGCAAATCTTAATTTTAGTTTGAGCTACCTCTCTATAACTGTGACTCCAAAAGCGTGCAAACTTATGTTTACTGACATACATGTGAAATGAGTACAAAATGATACAGGCACTTGAGGGAATTTTAACTTCAAGTACTTCTTCTCTAACTGCTTGACACAAAAATACATGGCAACAGCACAAAAAGTAGCAGCATGACTAAGCTTCAGTTTCCCTGCTGAAGACAAAAAAGAAACTGCATCTTTTTTCTCTCCCTCGCTCCTCTCTCCCTCTGGCTTCTCTGACACCCAGTTACTCAGTGGGCTCTCTTCAGGGACAGTGAATAGAGCAGAAGTCAGGTGGAAGGCTGGCAGAGATGCACACCCTTTGGCAGTCTGTATTTCCTTTTTTTGATGAAAACACACCTTGAATTGAAGTCATCCTCACTATCCAGGTAAGTAGTCTATCTGTCCTATGGACAGCTGATACCTGTCCTTCCCTTCAGCCACCGGGCACATTAAACAGGCAGCCTGCAAGCATCACGGTCAGAAGCAGAATTTTCTCCCTTGGGCAGCTGCCAGAAGTAATTCACTTGTAAGCCTCAGAGAGAAATTATCATGCTAAGGAGTTCACAAAATAAAATATCAAAACACTAGAAATTCCATCCATGAGAAGATGATTGTTTTAAAGTGAAAGAGAGTAGGAAAAACAACACATGCTGCAACAAACAAAAGCAATAGGAAAAGAAAAGTTCAACAGGAAATTAAAGGCAACAAAGTGGAAAGGGAAAAAACTAAGACTGGCAGCACAAAAGAAACAAACATATATTCATACAATAATGAAGATACCAAATAGGTAAATCTTTTCAGCTCTTAATATAGTGTTGATTCATATATACCAACAAAATTTCAGAAGTAGACTGTAAGCCTTCCTGACAAACACATTAATTTTGCATACTTCTGTTCTGAACTGTCTTTACTAAAAAATATTGGAAAATTGGAGTAGTTATGAAAAAAATAATCCCACCAGTTAAAGACAGAAGAAAAAAAAGCATTTGTGAAAAAAAAAAACAAAACAACCCCACACCTTTTTAGCAAAAAAATAATTTTGGAGTAAACCAAATTATCTAACAATATTTATGCAAAATTCACAATACTTCTATATTTTATATAGACTTCTATATAATACTTCTATATACTTTATATAATACTTCTATATTTTGTATAGTATTTTGTTAAGTTTGGAGAAGTTAAAAATATCAGATTATTTATTATATAGAATATTCATTCTACGTTTTGGATAAAGAAGAATAAGGGAGATGGGCAGAGAGCTGGAAAATCAGAAATGCATAGAAGAGGAGAGAGAAAGAGTAAAAAAGAAACCAAAAGAGGACAATTTGTGAAGCTGACAACATCAAAAAGAGCAAAGTAAGGCACTGTGGTCTAGCTTTGAAAAGACTCCAAATCCAGAGATCTAAGAGTTAAAAAATCTCTCAGAAATAACAAAAAAGCATTACAAAATTGTTGCAGTCATACACATCTTAGTGCTGAAGCTGAAAATAAGAGAGATGGGCAGAGGGAGAGAGATATGCACTTATACCCTAAGACAGTTCTTAGACCTCACCTATGCAAAACTTCTGTAAAAAGTGAGAATAATCTTGTCCTGTTTAAGGTCTTCATATGTACTCCAGTACTGAAGTGGGCATGAGAAATGGAAACAGAGGGAAGAAAAGAAACAAGGATGGGGGTGGGATGGGGAGGGCATGAAAGGGGAACAAAACCACTTGGAAAACAAGCAGAGATACACAAAAATATATATTAACTGATTTTTCTCAATTAAAAAAAAAACTAACAAGATGATCATGCTATCTGCTGATGAAAGGTGTTATAAAAGACAGCTATGCATCAATTAAAATAGGGACCTTACCAATGTAAGTCAGAAACCTCAAATACCTTAATTTCTCCAGCCTAATTTCAACATTTTTAATAAAATGAAGGGGTTATTTATATATGCATAATAAGAAGAAAAATCTTGTGTATTAAAAGTGCTTAAAATAAAATTCTAGATGACACAGAAATATTACTTAAATATGTCATGATAATTAAACAAAACACAAATCAACTGTTTCCAGAGTAAGAACAGGTTTGTTTAATTACCATCTGCAGCTGAAGTTATCAAACATATATATATGCTCATTGAACGAAAATACGTAGCAGTATCATATGAAAAGCATACCAAAGCAGCAATCCACACGGCCTTTCAAGACCTCTTTTGTTTGGAACATTTTTAAAAACTGCCACTTTTGTCATCTCTACAGTGGCATAAAATCTCTTAACATCATTGGAATTCTGGCTGGCACAAGATTTTAGCCCCAAAATTTTTAGTACCTTCAGCAAGGTAATTTAGCATGTGTTTTATGAAGGTCTTTGGTAGTTTAGCATACATTTATTTGCTTGTAAATTCAGATTTTTCTGAGAAATTTAGTTTCCATGTCTTGTTAATTCTTTTTTTTTATTTATTGGAAGATACAAATTTTTTGTTAGATGAGTTTTTAGAAAAAAATTATTTTAATATAATTTTACCACTTTTATAAAATTACCAGAAGACATTCATTGGCCTAAATATCTTCCTCCTAAGGTCCATTAGCACCTACGCCTTCCCCTTCAGAGGCAACACATTTAGGCCAATGTCCTGCATGAGCCATGCTGGTTGGAACATCAGGCTTGGAACAGACAGAACCCTCCTCCTTGGGACAAAACACACTCAGAAACCCTCCAAAGGCAGGCATTAACACGGTGCCTGTGCAAACACATTTGAGCGATGCGATCTGCGTGTGCGATTAAGACATTCCCCTGGGGCAGTCACTTACTAGAATTACTGCTGTCATCCTTGGTTCCATCGAGACTTCCATCGGGGTGCATTTGCAAGTAGTAGCCTTGCCTGCAATATAACCTGGTCACTATACCCTTGAGCTGGGGATCTGAAAGACAAACATATTTTGTCACTAGCCTCAAAACTTTTTCCAAGAGTTATCCCTACTTCTCTCACTGTAGGAGGATGTTTGGTGAAGCAGCAGTGCTGTCTTAAAAGTAAGTACTACAACAGGATGTGTGCTGATGGAGATGGAGAAAAAATCTCTCTGCAGAGTGTTGTTAGGTCAGTTCTGTGTCCTGTTCTCTGCCTCCAACATCCTTCATTACAATTAATACAGGTAAAACAGAGAAAAAAAGAACACCCGAAATACCCAGTCAAAAGCTTAAACCATATTAAGCCCTGAAAAGCATTTTAGACTTCAGAAACAATATAGCTCATTATAGACACTAACAAAACATTTGAAAAACCCTACTGGTTTCATATATGTTAGCAACTTACTGTACTGCATATAAGTTTTAAGGAAACTGGGGGGACAAGGTAGGTTTCCTTTCCTATCAAAAGTGGTAAACTTATCTGGTGTAATTTGCAACAGTACCATCTGAAGTTCTCAGAATATTTTAACCAAGCTAGAAGTAGAACCAACTCATCTGCCCTCTCCCACTCCCCAGGGAATAACACCCACAATCAGGGCAAGACATAATCTTTCTTCAGTAGAAAGAAAAAGCTGAAAAAACTCTCAGTAAGCTAAAGCTATGGGAAATCCAGGTAGCTGGAAGAATGATGGTACTCCATTTAATACTCTGCATTTATGAAAATTGCCAAGAATTGGACGGGGAGTGCCAAGTCGCAAACTTTTTGATTCACAGCACAGATGTTGCCTCACCAAATCACAAACTGAGCTGTTGCAAAACTGGTTCAGAGAAAGAAGGCATCACATCTTTAAAAAATTCAGCAGAACTACTTCTGTATGATATCAGTATTAATACTGTTACACATTAACTGTGAGGCCCAGTTCCAGGCAGCCAGTACATAAATTTTGAGAATATTGGCATTAAAATATCTATATCATATCATATCATGCTTAGCTCTGCAATAATTAATTAAATTAATAAATACTTTGATACAGATACATAATAAAATAAACATGTGAACTTTGAAGGAAGACAGAAAGTATGTTCATGCAAGCCTGCGGGCAGAATACAAAATTTGTGTATAATTGCTCTCACAATTAATCATGCTGGGTTACTTAGAGTATCCTAGGGGGACATGAAAACAAACAGTGATAAACAAAACTGCCTCTAAATGGTATGTACTGAAATTTCTATAGAGGCTCAGTTCTATGAAATTATCCTGCAAATGTTGAGTTTTTATTGAATATCCAAATTACAAAGTTGTATTAAACAATAAGCCCATCTAAATTAAAAATACAAGATAAACTGTAAATATAATTAAAAACTGTTACTATAAATAGTAACACTATAAGACTTCTGAGGCATGGAAATAAATAATATGGACAATCGAAGATCAACATATAAGCATGTTACAACTTAAATTTTTAAAATTTAACTGAAAATTCTGCTTTCTGTTAATTTTTACATTATCAAAAGTTTGTCTTTATATATGAATACTCAGAAATAAATATATTTCAAAATTTTAAACATGTTAAACTGCAATTCATTTGAAGGCACTGTCGTCATCAACTTCATCAGGTGATTCAAAAGTATTTTCATAATTTAAAAACAAAAAGTGAGTTCCTTTTACACAGGCACTATTCCTGTCAATGTATGCTTTCCATGTGTACTTCAAATTGACAATTTTAAACATGCTTGCTTAACACCCATTAAAAAGGCATCTTTAAAGACTAAATAAAGGTATAATAAAAATAATATTAAAACTTAGATCTTTAAAAATTATTTATAGGAAAAGTATTAACATTTCGAAAAACACTTTCCATACCCAAGGAATCATGAATAAATGACTTTTTATCAACATTTTCTGGTGGAAAGAAGTTTCATAGGAAGGCAAAGTACAGTCAACTCACTGTCACCAGCTGTTTACATCTACTGCTTCAAGGGAAAAATGTCAAACTTAGAAGTCACTTTCAAAGTCATTGTTTATGCTCATTCTATTCATTTTTCTAAACTGACAAAATTAAGTTGACAAAATTAAATATACTTTCTAATAATCATTCATCTGTTTTCATCAAAAGCATTCTTTAAAATTAACCCTGCTTTACCAGCTATCCAAAATTATATCTGAATGAAAGTGAAATGACACATCAATCTTGATGCAAATCATAATAAGCAATAGTCACAAAATAGTCACTCCATACAGCTTCAAGGTAAGTATCTCCAGGATGAAGCAGACAATCCTGTCGGGCAAGAAGTTTATCTCTTCTCCTTGCAGAAAGATTAATTACCCTTTCAGGTCCTTTTTGAGACACCTGAGCAGCAAGCAGAGAAGAGAAATCTGCTAGTCCCAGTATTTCTGTAGCATTTTATCTACCCTTTGTCTTTTAATAATATTACAGGAACAGTCAGATGATTTACAAATGAGTTTCTCAAATTGTATTTGGTTTAGATCAAAAAATTTAGATTTTTTTATTGTTTTTTTTCTCTGTCTGCTAGACAGCAGGAATGAGCAGCAATGCCCAGAAACAACAGCAGAAGACTGGTGGTGCCTGTCCACAGTTGTACTGTGTGTCTCACCTGTTTTTAACTCTCACCACAGTGCAAAGACAGACAGAAAGACAGACCAGCATTTATTCCTACCCTTTAACCCCTATACTCGCTTTTATCTTCCCACAGAGAAAAACAGTGGCAAGAAAATACAGCAATAAAATAAACCAGAAACAGGATAAGAGCAGACAACCTCACCAGAGAGCTCCCAGCTCTCATGATTTTATCATAGGAGTTTTGCTATTAGTTCTCTCTAACTCCTAGCTGCTATATCAATGTTACTTTGTGAACAATATAATTCCTATTTAATTTAAACCACCTTTATTTCAGGGGAACTCAAACTATAAAAAAAGCAAACTTTACCATGCATCAAAAATTATGGAAGAGTTCAACATCTCCTAATGATTTTTATCAATCTTTTTTTGTGCCTTGACTCCTGAGGATGAACAGTTCAGCATGACATGTCAGCAATGCCGTTCGCTGGGAAAAATTATTCTGACTTGTCATTATTAGAGGTTGTATCTTAAAATTCAAAGCCATACTGAATGGACAAAGCAACAGCTCCTCAAGCCTCTTTTTCACAGCAATCTGTGTGACAGCAGCCACTTGCAACCCACTTTTCTTGCTTTTTTTCTTTGTCAGTGGTGATGGTAGGATGCATGATTGCAGTTAGCATGAACATTCTGTCAGGAGCTTTTCTAATGTCCTCGACAAAGGCAGAGTTTAATTAAGATGTCTTCTCTCTCAAATAGTGGCTACAAAAATGGCTTTGGCATTAACTCATGACAGGCTGAATCCAGCTCTTGCTCTAGCACAATTATGACACTTTATGGTTTGAACTGTGAATATTTTCTGTTCACAGAGAGAATGGCTTTTGCGTGTACTTCCCCACTCCAACACACTGCCAGGACAGATGTATTTAGAAACTTTATAGATATAAAATAAACTAGGGAAAAAACTTATTAAATTTGAGTGTTAAGACATAGAAATGCTGAAAGAGCAGTGGTGAATATACCTATTGTATATTTTAAAAATTAGTCCCTTAGCATCCACTGGAGTTTTAATTTTTAGTTTTTACCAGAGGAAGGTTTCTTTTTACTGTCATTATTTATTTTCTCCCTCTTCTGTGCAAAGGGACTAAATAAAAGCCTGCTGACAAGCAAATGCTTAATAGAGGGGTAGTCTCACATCAACTCACATTCTCATGGAGAATAACCTGCACTATCCAGTCTGTCACAAAATGAGTCGCTCAGTGAGCCAAGTAAAAGCTTGTTATTTAGAGGTACATTCTGCTCAGATAGCAGAGCATCAAACTCATGATAAGAGCTCCAGGTCTTTCATGTTTTACTTGTCCTTTATTCTTTGCACTTCCATCTGACAGTTTTCACTTTTGGATATTTTAGTACTAAAAGTACCACTCATAAAAAAGAAAAAAAAAAGTAAAAAAGAAAAAAGAAAAAAAGAAAAAAAAAAGAAAAAAGAAAAAAGAAAAAAAAAAGAAAAATGAAAGAGCATTTTTTATTTAATATTAATGGTACCTTGATAGTTACCATGACTTGGCCATCATGTCTTGATTGCTGATGTTATGGTCAACATTTGTTAGGAACCTTCTCCTTCATCTATTTAACTTTATTGAAAATATAATAAAACCCCATTATAGTCTGTATTCAGATTTTTTTAAAAAGTCAACCCCCAATATCCCGCAACCACAAAATTCCTTTTGAACCTGGAAAGTAAAACACCCACTGAAAGTCCAGAGTGCCTCACCCACTCTAGACTCATCTCCCTATTATTTTGTAAAGCCTGGGAAATGCAAAAAGCCCTTTCTCCTGACTTCCTACACAATAGTACTCCAAAAGTAGTGTGTGTGTAGGGTGTGTTGGACTGGAATTCTTGCCATCTCTCTTGTTGAAGTGTCTCTACTTTGCATAAAAATTAACTTTGTATAATAATTAACTATTCCCTGCTTGCAGGTTAGACCCCATCCACTGTACCACTGTTCAAGACATCTTCAATCCCTCACTGGCTTCTGCCCAGAAACTTATTGTTGCTTCAAATTAATGTCTGGATACTTTATTAAACTTTAAACATGTCTCTGTAATGCTTGTATTTTAGACACATTCCATTAAGCAATTCTACTCTAGAAGCAGGGAAAAATTCCACATAAAAACTACATTTTCTTCTTTGGATTCATACTTCACATATCACAGTTTCTGCTCTAATGCTCTTCCCAGTTTTAAAAAGTCATATTCTTCTCAAGTGTACTGCTTCAGTTCAATTGCAGCAGTACTCAAACAGGTACAGTCGTTACAGATTTTCACATTACATTTTCCCTTGTTTTCGCCAAGCCTTGCATCGTCATTCCAGCACACAGAAGTGTGCAGGGTCCACTGAAATGTGTGTTATACAATTGTAACGGCAAGCTTCC